ATGGATGGATGATCAAGCCAAGAGTTCACACACATCTTAAAATTTTAGATTTTATGCAGTAAAAATTTCCGGCAAATCAGAGATGGCCGAGCAGAAATCGTTTAAAGAATGTGAGAATCTGAGATGAAACTTTTTTGATCCATAACTTTTTCTAAAAATATCACTTTGTTATAATGAGCTACTGAATTTAACCGAACATGGTAGAAAATATATCCTACTATCCATTTAAAATTAAATTTACAAAACTTTAACCTGCACAAAAAGCGGTGGGGCCTGACTACTTCCTGAAGCAACTGTATTTTGTTTAATTATTAATTATTTATCATTAGGGGGGAGTACAATGAGATCTATGGTGCTGTGGCCCTTTCACTTTCGAACAACAAACATCCGAGCTGGCATCTTGGATCACTGCCATGAAGGACTAAAATTCCCGCTTAAATGCAACAAATATGGCACAACTGCTATGAATGTCAAGAAAATGTTTATCAGTACATTGTGTTTTTTTCCTAGGTGTATAACATTGACATCAGTAATTCAATCAAAAGGATAAAAGAGACATTTGGTAATTTTTTTCATCGTTGTCTGCCTGTAGAGCTGCTTTGTTCTTTAAATCAATACTAATTATGGGCAGGGGACAAAACTATATCACGTTTTAGGTTAAGGGTGAAATACGGCCTTTAGCTGAGAGACTGTTTTGTGTGTTTTTTTTTTTTTCAGGGGTCACACAGACAACAGATTTATGCTTCAGGAGTCTGACTTCTGAATTCTGTGCTCTAAAATCCACAAATCGCTTATCTCAGAATGATTACGGCTTCTAGTTTCAGGTATTGTAATTATTAAGACTTCTTTATAGATTGTTGGACACAGTTGACACCAGCTGCCTTTTTAAACACAATAATTTTAGATGTTGTGTCATTATGAGAGCTTGACGATCATATGCTCAAGTTATGTTGCCCTCATCTTATCTGTGGACTTTTTCTTTTTTTGATAAGGACCAAACACCCACAGTTCACTTTAAGGCTGCAATTTGATTTGGGTGGGATTGCAGTGTGACTATTAACCTCATAAAATTAATTTTAATCTGTGTTTTAGTTTAAATTTGATAAGCTTTCGTGAAACCAGAACCGGTGTCGCTCCACTGCATGACATATAGATTTCATCATTAAACTTGGTCTAATTGTTTGCAAAGCAAATAAATGTGTGCACTGAAGTCCTTCATCTCCATGGACACGTATACAATCAGTCATTAATGTTTAATCGAGAAAAGAAGGTACCTATAAGAATGGACAGCAGGTCTGGCAGAGATAGCATCAGTGAGGGAAGCAGCTATAGGATGGATGTAAGGATGCAGTGACGCGTCACTAAACTGGACTGATGGCACAGTTTAGAAATGAGTTGTGTTCTGGTGTGATGTTGTCTGGAAGTACAAGTGATGCTGACGTGATGGTGCTCTAAGGATTTAGGGTTT